ACATAAAAATCAGTATAGAAAATTAATAATAAAATTTAAATACAATTATCATACGTATTTTTAAAAGATTATTTTTTTTTTAAGATTTCTAGTCTTCCAGCACATTTTCAGAATCATGATTCTCTTCAATCACTCCATTTTCTAGTTCTGATTTTAATTTTTCTGCAAATGTCTCATCTATTTCCATAATTTTCTTTAAAAATCTATCTTGTTGTTCTGGATTCCACTGAGTAAACCATTCTTTGAATAGTTTCACCTAAAATAAATAAAGTAATAATATTTTACTTCTATACATCAAACTAAATTTGTTTATTTTAAAATAACTTTTATATATTGTAAACAGAAGAATGTTACTTTTTTATATTAAAGTTTTTTCTTATAACTAAGAAAGCCTGGTTTTGAATATTTTAAAAAGAATCTCATTTCTAAGAGACAACATGTAAAATAGAACTTTTATAAAAGCCGAAATTTTGTTAATATAGAATGTTAAGAGACCTATTACTGAAAAATAATTATAAAATCACTAATGGCACGAAAGTTATTATGGCAAGAATGTAATATTTACACAAACGAAAAATACTCTCACTTTAATCAAAGCATTTTAGGTGCTTAACCTTGGTAAGGTGATAATTGCGGTTGTTTACAAAATCGTCGAGTTCAACGTCTTTGAATTAAGACAAAAACGGAAAACTTACCCTGCACTGAAATAAGGACATAGGTTTATCCTGGCAGTCAACTGCAGATATACTGTTCACAATCCCATTTATATAAATTTTCTTTGAATATTTTTCAGCCAGAATTGGAAGAAAATCGGATTTTTGTAATTCACTCCATTCATTAAACCACTGTATTAAATACCGAAATTGCGAATCAAAATTAAGATTCGTCATTTTTATTAAAGATCCAAGCAGGGTAGAACTACTAGCGAATATAAACTAATAAACGATAACACGATAACGATGATAAGGAAAAGAAGTGGTAGCTAGAAACGTGGTAACAGCTGTACAGCGAGGTGATCACAAAACCAACGGTACAATGAGTACAACGAAGAGAAAGGCAGCATAAAAGCGACTGAAAACCGTTTTAGTTGAATATTTTCAAAATAGATGTGCAGTAACCGAAATATTTTGATATTTTGACAAATATAAATTCTTTAACTTACAAAAATTTACCACATCATCTTCAACCAAACAATTAAAGAATAGCCAGCAAATTTTAAAAAATTTACGACCTTGACCCTCCCACAAAAATATAACTTGTAGCATTCCATTACCATAACCTTCAACCTTGTTGATTGTTAAGAAAATGTTTACAAAGTAAAGTATATGAAAGTAAACATGTTTCTAAATTACATATCATACTAATTCAACGTAACATTGCATTTTGTATTTATATTTATATTCAATGTTTCTATATATGGTAATTAAGGTCAAATGTAAGTAAATTTCTGTTTCGCACGGCTTTTGGTCATTTAGTCACCATTAGTATAGCATAGATAAGAACATATTTATGATAATGACATGAACTTATGACTAATCTACGCCTATGACATGCATATATGGAATTTATATGGATAATTATCAGATCTATGGACATTCGTTTAGTGTACCCCTATGGTGTACCTTTTGTGTATCTATTATCTATGGTTTATTATTTATAGTACCTTCCCAAAATGGCAAGTACACCGGTTTTCTGTTTTTCTTCGGAAAAAACAAGATTTCGTTAAATTTGACTTAATTTATCAATTGTATACGAGTTTACGATCTCTTCCATATCAATGTTTATTAAGGGTATAGAACCCTGAGAAAGCTTTGGAACTAGGAGTGATTGTTTGTTAAAAATTAGGGCTGGACTAGGACACAGGAACAAATTGGATCAAAGGGTAGGATTGTTTGAATTTGATGAATGAACAGTTTGAACAACACACATTGAAATTTACTTGACTTTCACTAGTACAATTGTACCCATTTGCAGCATTTCATTACTGGGACATTATATAGGTGATTAAAGTGAAAATATATAGAATAAGAAAAAATTCAGACAATAGAGAAAATTCATTTATTATCCTTTACTGTAGGTATATGTTCATACTCTTTCCATCCATTAATCTTATTTTTGACTTTCATTTGTTGTTTTCTTTTTACAGATAACTTCGGGTTTCATTTCTTCCTGCTTTCTCCAAAGGAAATTTTCCTTTAGCAGTTCAACCTACACAAACAGCGTAATTCCTTTGTAATTGAAAATCTTAAAGGGCCTTGTTGTCGAGAGGTAAGATGGCTAAGAATATTTTAAAATAGATATTGTAATTGGTGTTATTTGCTGGAAATGTTCAGATAACTATTCAACAAACGGTTCTATAAAGTTGAAAATAAAATATGTGTTAGAATTAGAAATTATTTANGTTGAATCATGTAGAACTCGTAGGGTAAATGCAAAGCAATTTATAGTAAGAATATGCAGTAAGCTAAGCGAAGAGGTAAGCAAGGTTAGACTATACTACAACTACTAAACGTGTTATTTCTACTACTACATTACTACTACATACAAAAAAAAAATAAAAACATCTAAATTCAACAATTACTTCAAATAAAATGAACAAAAATACGCATGCAAAATAATTCAAATTAACTACAAAAAAACATGCAAACTAAAAAATTAATTTGAATAAAATTGACTTAATGAATTCTACTAGATAGAGCATGCAAGATGAAGAACTCTTTAACTATGGGGTCACCTGTCTTCTCCAACGTCGATCTGAAACAGATACGGTGGTAACAGATTAATAAAGAGCAATTAAAATTAATTATAACAAGTATTCTCACCTTAATTAACTGTAGAACGTAATGTTTCAAGGTTTGCAGGTGTGAAAAGCAAACCAACTTCAGGAGAAATACCATAGCAGAAAATTTGTTGTTTCAGTGGAATTGGAATAAATCTCCAGTTGCTCTCACTCGTCGGTTGAAAATTGACTGCATAATGTTGGAAGGCGAAGACAAAAACAGCAAATCAAGAATATAGTTCATGAAAGACCACACCCATGTAGACATTAGTTGTTTCAGTAGGACCAAACAGAATTGAAATTCTCTCATTCGTTGGGCAATCTACAGAAAATAACAAAAAAACATATTAATTACACTATTCATTGAGGAAGGCATTAAAACAGCTAAAAATATGTAGCAAAAAGCAAGTAATATATCTGAATCATAAAATGGTGACAACTGTCAATTTACATAAATGACAAATAATCGTAGATGAATGACGTCAATTTGAGGTGTGAACAATAGATATTTGTTAAGGGCAACACCACAGATGTATAATAACCCCAACTTCTGCTGAGAACAACAGATAATTGCTAAAATGCCATAGATTCACTTTAATCTCAATTTATGCTATGGGCAAAAATTATTAATACCATAAAAGAAGATTAATAAAGAGCAATTAATATTATGTCATTGCATTCTCACCTTAATCAACTGTAGCCAAATCCACGAGGACTACCACGGCAGACAAATCTGTTGTTTCAGCAGTTTCCAAATTAATTTACAGTTACTTCTCTCTCACATGCTCAAAATTAACTGCATTATGTGAAGACATCAAAAGCACTGGTGGTTTCAGTAACATCAAAATTAATTATAACTCCATCTCATTTGTTTGGCAGTCTATAGAGATGGACAAGAAAATATAATTAATTACCACTTTTAAAACAAACAGATCAGTTATATTTTAAAGTGCCTATATGGTGGTACAGTTAGATATATAACCTTCATACTTATGGAAAAGTTAATTCCTCATTAATTTTGCTGTTCAGTTTCCATCATTTTCGAAAAACTGTTTAAAAGTTGTCTACTGAAAGTATATTACAAATATCTAAGAAATTGAAGTTTCTGGGACCTCATTTACTCTTTTTAATTGATACTGTTACTTACCAGTTCATTTGTTTATTGTAATAAATCTTCCCTTTAGCAATGGCACACTGCCTCCATTTTCAATTAAAAAAAGGCACTTCATCTTTGCTACAGCACCATATGTACACCTATGCTCTGGAGTGAATGAGGACTGATATAATTACTACTTTAATGCCGTCCAGTTTTAATGTTTCTGTAAAATGAAATATTGTCAAGCAGTATTCAGATATAATGCATTTAATCTCCGTATCTACCGATACAATTACAGCATGTAGCTCACCTTAATTAACTACAACTCCTTCACGATAAAAAGTTAACAGCTACAACACCGTAGCAGACCGCGTTTTACAATAGCATCAAAATGAACTCTTCAATCTTCAACTATTATTTATCGTCAATCTGTAAAAATGCAGAAGAAAAACAAATAAATTACACAAATAATTAAAACACGCACCGAAAAGCAAGAAAATTACAAAATTTAAAAATGGCGACGAAGCGTCGTTTCTAATACAAAATGGCAAGAGCGCAAGAGGACAAGATTCTAGATGCACAAAAATCATAGATTTATATGGTTCATAATTGTGTCAATTTACGCTAAGGACATATAGATAACTGTGACAGAAAAAACTAGAGTATAGATGAAAGAATCAACAAATGTAGTGGCGCTATAAACGTCAATCGACTTTTCAGCAAAAATTTGGATAAACTGAAGTTCTGCAATACATACAATTTTAACAGATTGATAATGTACAATTTACATTGATTATACTACGTATTCTCACCTTAACTAGCTACAAAATATAACCTAAGATTTACACGTGTGAAAAGCAAATGAAATTTAAGTAAAACAAGACAAGTTATAAATCTTTTCTTTAATAATAGCACATTGTCATCTTCCCAATGCAAAAAAGGCACATCCACGCTTTCTTCAGGACTGTAGGTACTGCTACTTTGCAGAGTGAAAGAGAATGCTATTGCTACTACTGCAGAATGATAGAGAAACCAATGTTTCATCATCTATGTCACCCAATGCTCCCGTAAAATGAAATATTATGAGCACATGGCAAAATAGTATTACGTAAATGAAAGTTAGTATCAGCAATTTCTTATGCTGAAGTGTACGATATATTGCATTCCTTTAAATTTTAATCATTGGCACAACAATTGAAAAAGAATGATGGCCGACAACAGCAACAATTAGAAAAGAATGATGGCCGACATCAATGACAATGCGACAACAATTGAAAGAGAATGATGGCCGACAACAGCAACAATTAGAAAAGAATGATGGCCGACACTACGTCATAGTAGAGCAATAAAAATGGCCGACTATTGACAATATGAATAAACGTAGAGCTATAAGATTTTATTTTTAAATTTGGACGTGAAAATTACTTTTTATAATGAGTACAGGAGCNGAAATTTTATTATCCAAACAGCAGTCTCATCAGGTAATGATGATTATGGTGTTGTATCGATCAGTTGTGAATATCAGCTTATACAATCAATACCTATATGGTTTAAATCTGTATGTATTTGTTCAAAAAGCATCTCTGCTTATTGATGTTTAGAATAGTGCTGTTAAGGAATTTGTTCTAAATAGATTACAGAATGTTAGAATTTGCAATAGATTAAAAACGTAAACATTGAGAAATAGGTAAATGTAACTGATTTGAACAAGTACTAAACTTAAAATATTAACAAAACCGCTTCTATATTGAAATTATAACTAAATGAAAGGTACGCTGGAACATTTCAGAAAGGGTATATTACATGCATTGTTTAACCCCATCCTTAATTTAGTCTTAATTAGTTTTGAATTTAAATTAACATAGCATCTTCGCGCGAAATTAAATGAGGGATAAAGTGATAAAGTGTTTGGTACATAAACAGTCTATGAAAGCATAACCACTGTTATTGTAAATGAATAATTTTTCACTTTGTTTTGCGTATTTATCTAATGTAGACATTTTTACCTTGTATCCTGTACATTACAGTTTTTTACGATTTCTGTTAGAGAAAATTACTTACAATGATAATAAAATTATTATTTCTGGCTTTCATTTGTTTTTTTTTCACAAATATGCGTAGGAATACACTAATTCCTGACTTTGCCAAACGAATTTTCCTGTATATGGAAAGTTTATTTAAATGGAATAAGTACATAGTTCCCATAAACTAATTAATATATTTGTTGTTTTTGAACAGGCTCCACAATACCAAGAGGCATAAAGATGGTTTTTGTTACAATATAATAATATTAATATGATGAAGAGCTTCTCTAAATGTGCCATGCCTTCCACACCATAGAGAGTCTTCGAATACTTTGGGTAAGATTTTAAGATCGTGTATTCCATTTGTTTGACATTAATTACTACTATAATTTTTTACTCTTCTGAATTGTAATAGTGAATTATTGAGTTTGATAGTCTTATTATATGATTGTTAAAAGTTACAGTTCTTAATTTATTTATTCATTTATTCAGTTACACAAGGTACTACAAGTTGCAAATTTGAACAGTGAGTGTATATCACAGAGGTAGGATACAATACAATAAAATGATAATATTACAGATTCAATTAAGAAAATTTTTTCTTATTAGACTTTTTATAAATTTAATACTTTTATTTTCAAGATTTATGTCTTAGTGTCCTTTGGTAATTTGTTGTGTAGTGCAATTGTTCTGTAAAAAGAGGTTTTTTCCAACTTCCAGGTTGACCACTATTAAAGCTCTGTGTCTAGTTTTACTTGAAGATTTATAGTACATATCAGTGAGGGTAACATGGTGGTGTTTAACTAAAACGTCTATATTATTTACATTTTCAATTCTTATCTGTTTGGGAATTGTTTGATATTCAGCAGGTTTTGTAATTTTCAAAAAATTCTCTTTTGCAACGATTTAATAGAACTTGGTATTTCCTTCACAAGTTAAACCTCAAGCTGAAACACCATAGGTCAATCTGGAATATAATAATCCCTAATAAAAATGCAAAGAAGCAATCTAGTGCATAAAATATTTTTAAGTTCTTAATATTTTAAAACAATGTTTAAGGTGAAGTTAACATTAAATTGTTTCAACAGGGTGTCATTTAAACATATTAAATGAACAAGAACACAAAAAATAAGAAGGATTCGAAATGTAAAGAAGTAGAGTCCAATCACGTTTCTTTCTCTTGGGCTTACGGAAAGGGTAAGAAATATTTAATNTACGTCAAATCCATAGATAGTCAGAGTACAATTAATGTCTACGACTGCGTTCCAATATACGCTGCGAGCATATAGTGTGAAATTTTTTAGTTTCTTTTTATTAGTATCAAAAATTTGGATAAACTGAAGTTCTGCAATACATACAATTTTAACAGATTGATAATGTACAATTTACATTGATTATACTACGTGTTCTCACCTTAACTAGCTGCAGCTACCTTCTAAGATTTACACGTTATGAATAGCGTGGCGAATTTACACGGTTATTTTCTGAAATGTGGCAAACGCTCATATTTTGCTGTTCATTGAATTGTGCGGCAACTGAACTAATTTTTTAATTATTGTAGTTATTTGTCTATGATAGTTATGTTATATTCAGTTATATTGCAGTAGTTCAATTATTATTCGGGTTTTACTTTTGAACTTCTACATTAGCCTCACTTTAAATTGCTGAGATGTTTGAATAAAGCTAGATAGTAAGATACAAATGGCTTTTTGTAAGCAATTTTCAAGATTAATAAGTTTGAAAAATTTAATTCAAGCAAGGTAAGTTATAAATGATACCAATGCAAGAATGTAGTCAGATCCGTTTAGGGCTCTACATCATCCATTTCGAAAGGAAGTCCACGAAGATATTCATAAACGTGTTTGGATTGTTTTCCTTACAGAACACAGTTTACATACCAGTAACTGTATTTTTAAAAGAAGAAAGACAAATGAAGAGCGTGTAAGTAATTATTAAATGCACTAGATAAATATAACTTCAAAAACTTCTTTAGAAAGCAGGTGCAATCAAAGGATTGCCTCCTAAATCAAAGGCTGAAGTAATCAGTATTTGGCCTAATATTACTGCTTCTGAATTATCAGAAGTTTTAAACAGTGATTTACAATATGTTTATGACATATTTCTGGGCTCAGTTAATAAACCCTATCAAATAATTAGTAACATGAAAGAGCTTCAGCTTGCTCTTCATAGAGCTGGAAAACGGATGCGAATAATTGGCAAACCTAAGAATAACATAGAAAAAATAAAAGATGCAGATGTTTATCCACGTCCTCCTGCTCCTAAATCAGCATTAAAACCGAGACCTCCTATTGTAACAGTCATGGGACATGTTGATCATGGGAAGACCACACTGTTAGATGCCCTCCGTCAATCGAATGTTGTCCAGCAAGAATTTGGCGGAATAACACAACATATTGGCGCCTTTTCTGTTACCTTGTTTTCTGGTGCCAAAGTTACTTTTCTAGATACACCAGGACATGCAGCGTTTACGTCGATGCGAGCTCGTGGAGCCAACATTACAGACATTGTAGTTCTTGTAGTTGCGGCAGACGATGGTGTCATGGAACAGACTTTAGAATCAATTAGAATGGCCAGAGAAGCAAGGGGTAAATAACCAGCAGAGTTTGTGTCTCTTCTAAAATTGCCTATTTCTAGTACCTATTCTGGTAGCAATAAATAAAATAGATTCACATAAAGCTGATGTAGAAAGAACAGAACAGATGTTGGTAGAAGCAGGAATTCAAGTAGAACGCCTAGGAGGTGATGTGCAAGCTGTACCTATATCAGCTTTGAAACAGGTAAATTTAGATAAATTGACAGAAGCTCTGGTTCTTCAAGCAGAAGTTATGGAAATTGGAGCAGATCCTACTGGACCTGTAGAAGCCACGGTGATCGATAGTAAAATTCATAAATACAGGGGAAGACTTTGTACAGTTGTCGTACAAAGAGGTAATTGGAAATAGTTTAGAAACACATAAATGAAGACTTGCTTTGGAATTTAAACGCACGTCCATGCAATAAGATTCAAATGTCCTGATTGATTAAAAAATTATTTCTAGGAACCTTAAAGAAAGGTGATATTCTTATTGCGGACACATGCTTCGCTAAAGTACGAGCGTTAAAAGACGAAAAAGGGAACATTCTAGAGAGCGTTGCTCCGGGATTTCCAGCAGAAATAGAGGGCTGGCGAGATCTTCCACCAGCTGGTGAACTAGTACTTCAAGTCGATTCGGAAAAACGTGCAAAAAGTGCAATCCGAGCGAGAGAAGAGAAGAAAGAATTAAAAAGAGCTGAAGAAGATCTAAAATATATCAAAGAAAAAGAAGAACAACATCTTCGGGAATACAAGAAAAAGCTGCAGCTAAAACAAAAGATTGGAAGAAGGCGTTTGAAAAGCGAAGGTCCCAGAAAACCGGAAATAGCTCCAGAAAGTGGCCCTCCAACATTTCATGTAGTTGTCAAAGGGGATGTTGATGGTACAGTGGAAGCAATTTTGGATACTCTAGATACTTATGAGTCAGAAGATGTCAAATTATCTTTAATACATTTTGATGTGGGATCAGTTACGGAAAATGACGTTGAACTTGCTGAAATGTTTAAAGGGACAATCTATGCCTTCAATGTTGATATTCCACTTCCCATACAACAAATGGCCGACAATGTTGGAGTTCCTGTTAAAAAACATAATGTCATATACAAACTCATAGATGACGTAAAAGAAGAAATAAATTCTAGACTGCCTCCCAAAGAAGTTGAAGAGATACTGGGTGAAGCTACAGCTTTGCAACAATTTTTCATAAATGAAAAAAGGAAAAAAGTAGCCGTAGCAGGCTGCAGATGTATAAAAGGATTTCTGAAGAAATCAGCAAAGTATAGAGTAAAACGAAAAGATGAAGTTATTTTTGAAGGTAGGATTAATAAAAAAACAAGACAAGTGGTTCTCTTACAAAAAGTACTTAATTTAATTTACAGGTTCTTTGGCGTCAATGAGACATTTGAAAGAGGAAGTAGATACAATAAAAAATAANGTGAAAATTACAGTTGTTAGTATTTTAAAATATAATATTTAAGATGAAATTAACATTAAATTGTTTCAACAGGATGTCATTTAAACAGATTAAATGAACAAGAAGACAAGAAATAAGGATTCGAGACCTGGAGAAGTGGAGCCCCTTCATTTCTCCCTCCCCTTGGACTTGAAAATATGTGCAGTCCAATTTACAGTGATATGTGATATGTGATGTTCTGTCTGTCTGTCTGCTATGGGGCTCATTTCACCATGGGTGATATTACTTTTCCATTCCTAAGCATGTATTATTAAGAGGCATTTCTCTGTTGTCAACGCTTAGAAATAAAACTCGAGCACCGTACAGTAATCCTTTAGGTAAGCAATTGTTTCACTGTTGATTATTTTGCTTTTTGATTGTACTTGATTTTCATAATAATTATTCGTCTCTGGCATCTGTGGTTTCTCTTTAACAGTTATCTATAGTTCGTAGCAGAAATTAACGTCGTGTATCTATGATTTTGCTTTTTAACTATTATCTATTGTCTGTAGCTTAAATTAATGTTAAGGTGAATCTATGATTATTTCTTTATACAATTATCTATTGTCTGCGACATAAATTGATGCTTCGTAGATTTATGATTTTTCGACATTTGTGTCATCTAAAGTTGACGATTGTCATCATTTTATAATTCAGATATTTTACTTGCTTTTTGGTGCGTTTTTTTTTAGGTGTGTTTAACCCCATCCTTAATTAATATGTTTGTTTGTCCGTTTCCGCAGATTGTCGCAACAAATGAGAGAGAATAAAGTTTAGTTTGGTCATACTGATACAACAAATGTCTACATGGGTGTGGTCTTTTGTGAACTATGTCTTTAATTTGCTGTTCTCGTCTTCACCTTGCAACATTATGCAGTCAATTTTGAAGCGGCGAGTGAGAGCAACTGGAGATTTATTCGAATTCCACTGAAACAACAAATTTTCTGCTATGGTATTTCTCCTGAAGTTGGTTTGCTTTTCACACCTGCAAACTTTGAAACATTACGTTCTACAGTTAATTAAGGTGAGAATACTTGATATAACTAATTTTAATTGCTCTTTATTAATCTGTTACCACCGTAACTGTTTCAGATCGACGTTGGAGAAGACAGATGACCCCATAGTTAAAGAGTTCTTCATCTTGCATGCTCTATCTAGTAGAATTCATTAAGTCAATTTTATTCAAATTAATTTTTTAGTTTGCATGTTTTTTTTGTAGTTAATTTGAATTATTTTGCATGCTTATTTTTGTTCATTTTATTTGAAGTAATTGTTGAATTTAGATGTTTTTATTTTTTTTTGTATGTAGTAGTAGTGTAGTAGTAGAAATAACACGTTTAGTAGTTGTAGTATAGTCTAACCTTGCTTACCTCTTCGCTTAGCTTACTGCATATTCTTCCTAATTTGCTTTGCATTTACCCTACGAGTTCTACATGATTCAACGTTTCGTTATCGTGTGTGTTTCTTCTCACCCTTGTGGAATTAGGGAGGGCCTCCCCGAACGACTTCCCTTGGGCTTAGCTATTTNTAAATGAAAAAAGGAAAAAAGTGGCCGTAGCAGGCTGCAGATGTATAAAAGGATTTCTGAAGAAATCAGCAAAGTATAGAGTAAAACGAAAAGATGAAGTTATTTTTGAAGGTAGGATTAATAAAAAAACAAGACAAGTGGTTCTCTTACAAAAAGTACTTAATTTAATTTACAGGTTCTTTGGCGTCAATGAGACATTTGAAAGAGGAAGTAGATACAATAAAAAATAATATGGAGTGCGGACTATTGTTTTCTGATAAAGATTTTATTGTAGAACCGGGAGACATAATAATTTGTTATGAAAAACGGTTAGAACCTCAAAAATCCGATTGGGATCCAGGATTTTAAATTATGTATTAGTTTAAATTAAGTGTGAAATAACTTAATTTGTATATATAATTATATATATTTACGTTTAAAGCGCCAATTTTTTCATTTTTGTAAATACAATTTTACAAACAAATGCCTACTTAGTTGCCTAGTAGTTTTTAATTTCTTTTCTAGTATTTTTTTTAATATTCGAATAATTTGTAGCTTGGTAAGCAGATAACGGACTAAAAGATAAGTTAATTTGAATAAATAAGAAAGAGCGTAGTAGACAAGCATTGGAGTTACAACTGAAGCACCTAGGGACAACAAAAACGATAAAAAAGATGACTTTTTTCATGATAATGAACACTTTTTCTTTTCTTATAGTAAGTAGTCCAACTTCATGTCTAGTATTTTGAGAATAAATCGGCCCCAAAAATAGTAATTTACACAAAAAATACGAGAGTTGCAGGGCCATACGATTCATCCCTAACCTACTCGTTTTAACAAAAAAAAAAAAATATATATTAAATATCGAAAAACAAAAGCGGAAATTATTGGGAACAGATGCTTAGAATTAACTACTACGGAAATGATATTGAATATCGCTTTGAATATTTTAGTCCTTATGTATTTACAAAATGAAAGTACCTATTTTACTTGGTTTCAGTCATTTGTTGCAACAGTTCCATCAACGTATGAAACCTTTGCCTGATCTGAAAAACGGTCCTATTTTCTAACGACTCTGCAATTTTTTCGAAAGCTTTATCTTTATCAATCTCCTTTTGTAGTGTTTCCAAAATTATCCTATCTTCATCTAAGGTCCATATTATATCATCACTGTTTTTATCACTGTGACTGGGGGAAGTAGTCATATTCTCGGCTTCCTCTCCCGACTCGTCAGTTTCACTGTTAGTATTATATTGGGACGATTCAGGAACATCTAGGAAAAAAGTAACAGATTTTAACGAAATTCTAATTTTTCTCAATTACAGTAATTTCAGTAGTACTTCGTCATTTGGTTGCTTTTAAAATATAAATTTGTAGTTAAATTTTATTCAATTTTTGAATCAAACACGAGTGGAAATTAAAATTGTCTTATTTTAATTAATTCATTTAAATAAAAAAACAAGTACATCCCTTTATAAATTACAGATTTTTTCATAGCCGAAGTAATTAAAGTTTTAATAACTAAGATAAATGTGCTAGTAAATAACTGAAAACATTTATTATCAAATTGGCAAAATAACACCAGACAATGTACTTAAAAAATAGATTATTGGAAACTTAAAAACTTGTCTTGGTGACGAAGTAACGCTTCATTTACCGTATTTTATAAAAATTTAAGTTTATTAGAATTTTATTATTTTTCAATTTTAGATTTATCGTCGTTTAATTATTATTAACGATAAAATAGAGAAGAAGAAATGGTGAATTATACTAATAGCACTTTAATAATATATAGTATATTCTGTTTAATAACAATTCTCTGTTATCATGAATCCATACTTGATGAAAATGTAATAAAATCTGTATATTCTTATTACATATTGAGATTATTTATTGCTATCATTTTTGCTTCGCTTCAATTTGCTTTTAAATAAACCCAACTTACCACTTTCCGATTCAGTACTATGCTCAGAGTTCATTTTCAATTCTGCTGACTCTACTGGCATATTAGCTTCGTAATTAGTAGGGTCATCATTTAAACTTCTTTTATCACTATTACTACTTCGTACAGTAGTAACTGTTAAATTTCCAGTACTATTTGTTGCAATTTTTATGTTAGTACCAGGAGATGATTGAGTACTCGCACCTTTTTGTCTGCAAACTTTCCCACACCCATTTCTACCATTACCACTGCTTGTTTTAGTAGAAGTTTTTTCTTTATCAACACCTTTTGCATCGGTGTTTTTCGGTTTTCTTTTCCTTGGTGATCGATTAGTTCTCTGATTTGTTTTTTTTCTATCATCATCTTCACTATCTGCATGAGTACGGCCCTGTATACAACATAAGGAATAAAATAATTTTTTTCGATGATTCCATCATAAATATATAATTAACAGAATATGTTTTAAATTACATCATCTTGAGATTCCTTTGTAGGTGATATTTGTTTTGACAGGCTGGAGTCTGATCTCTTTTTTTGCTTTTCAACATATAATTTTATGTTATGTTCAGGACCTGATTTACCATCGAATGTAACATTTGCTAAACGTAGTCCTTTTCCTGTCTGAATATAAATGCGGCCCTGTATAAACTGCAATTTTTTATTTTCATATTACAAATTTTACTTATTTCTTGGTATTTATTATGTTACCTTTGTTCCACATGGTATACAGTGCCTTGATCTAGTTTTATACAGGATGTTTTCACTTTCATGACATTTACAAATACATTTTGGCCCACCATAAGGATCCTCACTATCTGGTAGAGTTATATTTTCATAAATTTCATTCTCATTTTTGATGTCAACTGAAAGATCAATGTTTTCAAACGGTCCTTGAAGTAAACTGTAATAAAAATATACATAATGAAATGGAATCTAAAATACACATTTTTACAAATCATACAGACCTTTCCGGTGGTTTTTCAGATGGAAATATTTGCATAAACCAATCTGTTAGTAAACTATTACCTTTTAGAAGAGGTAAAATAGTATTTTTAACTTTGTCAATTGTGACATCCACACAGGATGCCAATTCTGTCAGACACCTGTACACTTTTCGTAATTGTGCAGGTTGATCTTTGAAATATGCTTCCAATTTGCATAAAAAGAGGGACATATTGCTTAACATTAAATGTGGTATAAGTTTACCAATTTCGCTTGCTTGAGTTGGAGTAAGAAATGTAAGGAATTCATCTAATAAATCCTGATATTTTGGATGTAATAGGTGTTCAATATTTTGATAAAGATCAGAAACTTTGTCATATTTTTCATCAAAGTCATTCAAAATTTTCATAAACTGATGATACTCATCATGATTCAATGTTTTGCGTACTTTATCAAAGTATGCATAAGCATAAGCTAAAAATAGAATTATAAAACAAAAATTTGTTCATCATTATTAAGCCTTTTCTTTTTTTACTTTCAGCTCTTTCTTGAATAACACAATTATCTTCAGGTTTTAACATAGCAAGCATTGCATTGTATTCACGCTTCAGTTTAGCCCTTTTTCTTTCTGTCCCAGGACGTTCCTTTCTTCTGGCACATTTAATGGTAGAGCTGGCCACCATTAATGCATTAATATCATCAGGATTATCCTGTAAAATTAAATTGACCACAAAAGTTAACAAATAAATTAAATGTTTACCTTTTCCATTGTATCATCTTCTATTGTAATGCAATCTTCTTCTTGTGAAGAAGTTCCATCACTTTCGATACTTCTTTTCTTTTCATTATCTTCTACGTCTAATTGTTTAGTGCTATTATTAGTTGAAGTTATTTCCATACAATTGCTAATAGAACCATTCAATGAAGACATGTTTAAAGGAAGTTTTCCTTTCTTAAACTAGATAAAAGGTTATAACCTTAACAAAATACACTTACAAAATTGCCAAAGTAATTACTTACTTGTTCTGAACTCTTTTGATCAGTACTACATCCATCTCTGCCTTTTTCATTAACAGTAATATTCACCTCATCTGTCTTGCCAATAGAGCTGTTAATAGTTATTTCCATGTTTTCAGTCAAAGGCTTTTTTATAGGAGTGTTCAAGCTGGGCATATTAGGTAGCATTTCTAAAGCGTTGCTTTTATTTTTAAGACTTTGAAAAATTGATGAATTAAACTTCAATTTAGCTAAGGATGGTCCAATTAGTTCCTTTATGTTCTTTGAAGAAAATACATTGGCTCCTTTATTTTTTTGCTTGCAAATACGGGAAAATAAACGGCTCTTCGGTGTAGACTGAGAAGCCAATTTAATACCTTCGTAAAATACGTTCTTGTCTTTTCCAGCTTTTCGGTGAAGAGAGCGGAGAGTTGTATACGGAACGGATGAAATAGGAGACTTAAGAATTTTAGGCTTCGAGAAACCTTTTGTAACGAATCTTTTGAAAGCAGGGGGCTTTACTATTTTCTTTATAGTCCCTGCTAACGGGGATAATTGTTTTGGTAAAGATATTCCACTCTAAAGAGAAAAGCAAATTACATCAATACATAGTCAAATAAGAAGTTTGTTTTATATTATTTATACGTCAAATCCATAGATAGTCAGAGTACAATTAATGTCTACGACTGCGTTCCAATATACGCTGCGAGCATATAGTGTGAAATTTTTTAGTTTCTTTTTATTAGTATAAAATTACTAAAGTCAAACTTCACACAAGGTTTTTTATTTCAATTTAACTGTTTTTGTTGGGTAACTTTCTTTTTTTTACTTTTCGATTCATACATTAGAGTTTGTAATGTTAGCTGTAATAAAGCAGCAGTGGCCGCAAGTTTAACAATCTGTATCAGAACACAGTCACTGTTAAAGAACACCGAAAAGCGATACTGCTCACACTCTATGATTGAAATACAGGTTACGGTTCGAAGTGTATCAGAACTACTTTATTGATCATAGATTGATTAAATTTTGAAGTATTCTATATGAGGAAGGTGTCGAGAAAACGATCCATTAAGATTAAATCCAAACGACTAATATAGTAAAAAGTTCGACTTATTTAAGGTATGGCGCTATCTTTTTTAGCGTTAGCAAGATTTTGTTTGCGTTTTGTTTGACAAATGCAGCGTACAGTATGAACGCTTTTTATACCTTTTATTAGTCATGATGCTTTTTACATTCATTCCTTGGTATTAGGTTTTTGCCTTCTTCTTGACTAGAAAATACAACTTAACCCGACCTGCGCCAAAATGACTGAAGATAGGAGATCATAAAAACTATGAAGGGATGCGCACTAAAGTAATGCGCAGCAACTGGCGAGCGAGCTTTTAGGTGTACTCGTTCGCCCTTATTATTACGATTTACCCATGGGCATTATTTAAAAATGCATTTTTATAGCACAAGTGTACATGTTGCGATATCTAATCATCTTGGGCATGCATCAATTTCTGTATTGCCAGTTGTTAAAAATAAAAAACAGTCTTGATAAAGACTACGTCATGACTTAAACAAAAGCTTCTTGCGCGTTTGTCAACGTGAATAACATTGCCTTACTGCGACGTTTTTATGGCTTGTGTCGAATATACGTCTTTATGTAGTTTTTACTTCTTAAATTTTATGCTTCTCATTCTAATATTTTTGAGGGGTTCAGAATTAGCATAACCATTGTTTCACTTCTACCCTGTAAGAGACTGATAAACTGATTATTTCACTGGCAGGATGCGAGTGAAACAAAAGCTAGTGCCCCCTTTTCTTTTTTTCAAAAACAAAAAAAAAATCTCACCTCTTTTTCTTTGGGATAAAGAAATGTTCTCCACTGGTACGACAATGTTTCTTTGTTTCTCTGAAATGGTGCTAACATTCCGTAAGTTTCCAGATTAAAAACGTAGTGAAAGGTTGGGGGCGCTTTTCCATTTTCGAAATAGTACAGAATTGGGTTGGGAGCTGCATTCTTTGATTTGTTATGCTTTATATGCTGACAAAGCCTATTAACATTCTTCACTGGCATCATGTAGCGTACAATAAAATGACAAACGTGATTCAGCTTTACTTCCCCATCTTTATGAATATGATGCGAATCGCTTTTTAAATAATCACAGAATTGTTCTAAACCCAAGGCAATTAATCTGAAACAAAGATAATTAAAGTACACAAAGGAGAAAATAAAAGGAGAGATTTAAAATAAGAGACACTCGCATACGTGAGAGAAGTCCCTAGGAGTCTTAACATCACCTAGGTTGTATATTTGTCTGATTCCTCATGAAATAAAAAACTTAGATAAAAGACTTACTCGTTTTCGTGTTTTGTATAGTCATGTTTTGCAAATGTAAACGCCGAAGATTTAAAGGGGATGCAGGGTAAAAGTGAAGGGTATATGAACACTTTGCTCTTAGAAATAGTCTCTAAAATAGATGGCGGAAATGTATAAATATATACACTTGTACCCCTTCTTCTGTCTATTCTACGAAAATAATGAAAAAGGGAATTACACATACAAAAAATGGCACTTTATAAAAAGTATACTTACGATTCTTGTATAACTCGTGAAAAATGCCTGAAAAAATCATATTTTAAAAATTAGCATTGTTTTTATTTTTGTCTTTTGGGAGTACATCTGTCATCAAAAACAGAATTATGTGTATTTGTAAGTTTATACCTACCGTACTATTTGTCTACCTTCTTCACAATCCTTTACAAACTTCTTTTCCCAATCGGAAATTAATTCAATAGCAGCTTCAAGATTTGCAGCGTTAAAATTGGAATTTGGATGACTTTTACTTAAATACTTTAAATTCAACTATAAAAAAAAATGACAAAGGAAATTATTAAATAATTAGTGATAATTTAATTACCAATTTTTCCTTGAAGTCTACCGCCATTTCGCAAAATTCAGGATGCTGATAAGTAAGTAAAAAATTTTGAGTTAACATTTGAACGTGTTGTCTCATTTGTTGCTGCAATAAAAGTAATTGGCCATAATCCATATATTGAGCAGTCATCAAAATTTGTGTTTCACAATTACTAATATTGATTTCATGAGATGTATCATTGATTTGTACTTGGGGCTTTTCCTCAACTGTATTCAAGTTTGTTGTCTTTTTTATTATTTCAATTCCTTTTTGCTGCAATTGATAAGAATTTAACTAGAGTGCTAATCAAAAGTTGAAATAATCAGAAAATTGAAGAATCAACCGAAAGCACAACTAAATTAGTTGTTAAATTTTAATGAAACCTAGATATAATAAAGAGAAAAATTTAAATTTGTGTAATTTATTTTATCTTTAATAGTAAACTCAAATACCCTGTCTGGCGATTTAGTAGCACCTAGAGTTTCATCTAACACCTTGTATTGAGGCTCATTTTCAAAATTAACGCTCACATTTTCTAACTGGCTTGTAGAGAATGATTCTGCATACTCAAAGAGCTCTGATATCAGCTCATTTAATTCTTTTTTAGTAACCTTAACCCCTCTGTCTGCCCTTAAGTCCTCACGATCAACTAAGTTGATAAAAAAAGAAGAAAACAATTTAAAATAGAAAATGAATGAAAGATGATGTATTTTTTACCCCTATCAATTTCATCTGCTAGAACATTATATTCAGGGTCATGATCTTCATCTTCACGAGCTTTTGTAACTTCTTCTAGTGGTCTCATAAATTCTTTTAAGAAGTTGCCCCATTCTTCATCATCACAGTCCATGTCATACATATCAGTGGTAATATCAGGAGGCACAAAAGCCTCTTCTATTATTTCTAGAGGTGTCTCACTGAGACAGAATTTTGACCTTGTCCTTAGAGCAATGTTTGTCGTCTCTTCAGTTGAATCCTTTTTAGAAGGAGGAACTTTGAAAACACCATCTTCTGTCCAGTTTGTTTGTGTCCCACAGTCATTCTTTGAAGGAGTGGGAGGTGTTGAGCAACGTGGTGATTCACTTACAAGTGAACTGTCTCTATCATCTTCACTCTACAATTTTCATAGTAGTTATAATTGTTTAATAAAATTACAAAAGAGGACTTACATCGTAATCACCGGGTACATATTCATCATCAGAAGAGTCTTCTGGAAGTTCATCATTAATTAACACATGCACTTCAGGAGATGTACTAGTTGATGGAGGCCAAGGTAAAGTGGCTATTGAATTAGAAGAATGAAGTTCTTTTGCTTTTGCTCTAGTAAGTTTAGGTTCAAAAGTTACAGATTCTAGTGCATTGTTTGGGTTTTCCGCTTTCCTTAGTAGTACTTGCATATCTTCATTTGTAAGGACTTGCTTTAAAATAGTTTTAACATTAGTTGCAGTGAGATTTGTTTTTGAGGCTTTTTCATCTAGAATATGGTCTAGTTCATCTTCCACCTTCTTAATAAATTCTTTTTCGTCATGACTTAACTGAACAGTTTTTGATTTCTTTGTTTTTTTACTTTCTGGTGACTCCACAACTATTGTTAATGAATTGTCATTTGAATTCTCATCATTTATTACTTCGTCAATGTTTGTTGTTATAGAAGGCTTGCAATCCATTTTTCAAAAGTGTTTTAATTAAATAGTTAAATAACACACTATTTAGAACAAAAGCAGCAAAAACAAACTTCCAAATATGCATATAGAACATGTAAACAAGAGGGTACTCTTGTATTATTTTGAGGTTAGTAAAGTTAGTATATATATAATATATCTATGGTTAATAAATACATATTGAATAATAATAATATTATTGATGTTTTTGAACTATTGCGTGAAATCAGAGAAGATAGCTGGGTTAGATAAGAAACAATAACTTTCGATAACTTGAAAAGATCAGAAGATGGCGCTGATATGAAAAAGCAGTAAAGTAGCCAGACAACCCTCTTGTTGGGGCAAGGCAAGGGGTTAAAACAAAAAAAAGGGATTGTAGGTTTTGTCTCATTGTTATTTCACACGAATATTTTAAAAGATGTGAGCCTAGTCAGTAATCTCAGTAGTAATTAATCAATCACTGGGGTGGGGGGGAAGCTTGCCAACGGTTTCAAAGGTTTAGAGCCATAAACTATTTTAAACTACATTAAGTTAACGATTTAAAAATTAACATTAACAGTATTCTTATTTGAACAATTTATTCAATTATACATTCGAATTATCACTGTATAATGTTATTTTTTAGTTAGTTTGTATAATATTCTTTTCATTATAAAACAGCATGAAATGCAAAATATGTAAAAAAAATTAAAAAAAAAATGTTAAGAAACTGTATAATAAATATAAAAATTTGAACACATGTGCTTGCACACTCACAAGAAATAATCATATGACTAGTTCATTAATATTTTAATCTAAGATTTAAAATAAATAGCATAATTTTTTATTATATCTACAAGTATGGTTAACAATAACACCATCAAACTTCAGGTGCTTAAATGCTTAAAAATCATGCTAGACGTATTAGCTTCAAGTCAAATAAAATTATTCTCAGTCTTAACACAAATACTATGTCAATTCTTTTGTCTTATCTATCATACTAATCAAGATATATGTATATATTTATGTACGTTTAAATATATATCTTTACAGCATTTACCAATATTTCTTGTTAGCATTACATTTATGTATTTTACATATCTTTGTACAATAATTAAATGTTTTTGTTTATAACGTATTTGTTAATGAAGTTAAAATTTTAATAATGAATTAAAAGAAGAAGACAATGCAAAATAATGTTTGTCTTCACTAATATAGTATTTTTAAAATTATGGACAAATATTAAAGG